TAAGGCACGAGTGGCAGAGTTGGGTCCCAACCGGAAGATCCACTCATTGTTACCAATATCTGGATCCTGATGGGTCTCTCTCAGCTTATATCTACCTCCGGCGTGCCGCAGTATACTCACAAACTAGGCTCTGTAAAACTGATATGGATTTTCCTTAGTGGATGTGGATTTTCCAACCTCGTCTCATTTTTCTTCTATGCTCAGAATGTGGCCAAATTTTCACTGCTCTCTTGATTTAAGCAGGTACCATCTCCTTGCGCCCTGAATTACCCTATCCTATGGTCTCAACCCTGTATAGTAAAATCCAAAGCCTTACAAGTGCACTCTAACATTTCATTATATGTCAATGCAAATCTAAAATTCAAGATCCCCAAAGACCTTTTAAAAGAAAATGCTCCTCTCAGAACAATTTACGTTAAAAGTTAAGAGCAAATGCGGATTTTAGAAGTAATGGAGAATTATGTGCATTTGGCACTCAACTTTTTATAATTTCTTTAATCAAATGCACCCTCACCTGAAACTTCACTGTGAAATCAAAACTTTGCTAAAATCAAGCCTCACCTTTGGGGGCAGGCATTAATGTAGAATTAGTGATTTTTTTTTGTTTTGTTCTGGGTTCACAAGTAATGTGTGAAAAAAAAGCAAGTTGAAGATTAAATCCAGCAAAGTTCTGATTGTCGCCTTTCCCCTCAAGAGCTAAGAGAAAGGGTCTCCGAGCCATTAAATCCTCTAAAATGCACATCCAATTGGCTTCTTTTTTTTTTTTTTATCCGCACAGTTGGCTTGCAGGGAGTGTAGAAGCAACGTTCCTAAGTCTCCCCACGGAAACATCTGTTTTGGGCTGAAACAAAAACCCTTTGCGCATCAAGAGTCAAATTAGATCTGCTGTTCCCCTGGTCCCTCCGTTTACGGCTCTGTTGATAACTGAAAGGTAAATAGATGTGTTTTTGCCTTTTGACAGCTCTGCGTGCTTCTTGCTGGGAAGCAAAAAAGCGACTCCAAGCAGTAATCAATCACCCCAAAAGATGACTGGATGGGATCTAAATCCACCCAAACGAATGACATCATTACCTGCCCCACGTCTGCATCTGCTGTAGTCGACAGTGAAAGAGAGACAGATGTCCATTACAACCATTCCCCGACCTGTTTGCAACTGCTCTCGTGTTTCCCTCTCAGCGGACACCTCATTCTACCACCAATTCCTCTGCTGTAAGCAACATCAAGCCATGGGTTAGACTATCAAATTACCTTTTGTTTTTCTAGGTGACTAATTAGCAGGCTAACCTGGGAAGACAGCAGGAGAAGGAGGAAAAAGACACACTAAAGAGCAGGTCAGCCAATGCTTGGAGCAGAAACAAGGGGAAAACACCCTAAAAATTGTTAATCAGATGTCAAATGAAAAAGAACTTGTTGCAGTAGTTGGGCATGGGATTGGGAGTCGTTACCCTCCAAGAGCAAACGATAAAGAACTTGTCGCAGTAGTTGGCCATGGGATTGGGAGTTGTTACCCTCCAAGAGCAAACGATAAAGAACTTGTAGTAGTTGGGCGTGGGATTGGGAGTCGTTACCTTCCAAGAGCAAATGATAAAGAACTTGTCGCAGTAGTTGGCCATGGGATTGGGAGTCGTTACCCTCCAAGAGCAAACGATAAAGAACTTGTCGCAGTAGTTGGCCATGGGATTAGGAGCCATCACCCTCCAAGAGAGTCTGTTTTTACCCAAAACTGGTCACTTCCAACACAACTGTGGCATTACAGGGCCATTCGGTTGGCTCTGAACTCCATGTGGTGACCTCAGCCTCAGTCCAAATGAGCAGGAGAGTGGTCCTGGCAAGCAAACAAGCAAGCCAACAAATGCCCTAAACCTGGCATCCCACCACCCCAGTACAGCTGTAGAGAGCTTGTCTCCCGGAGACAGGAGAGCCTGTCTCTACCGCTCTACTGGGGTGGCAGGTTTAGGGGTTTTGTTGGCTTGCTTGTTTGCTTGCCAGGACCGCTCTCCTGCTCTCCTGCTCCTTTGGACTGAGGAAAGGATGAAGTCCTGCCTGAAGGCGCCGAGGGGGTTCAGATGACTCACAGTGACAGGTGCAAGTCATTAACCTTCACCGAGGCTATAAACAAAATAGAGGTCCCTCTCCAAGGAGAGGGAATTATGGGCTAGAATAGAGGTGGTCATGGAAAGAAACCGGAGGGACTGCCAGACTCCAGGAGGAAGTTTGGGCTGAAGGTTTAAGATGTCAAGAAAGCTCAGCTCTCCAGGAACGGGGTTTGGATGCTAACTCAACAGGTGCGTTCCACCGGGGACAGGAAAACCGTTCTGTCCATCCACAAAGCACATCACAAAGCGTGGAGGGACTCACCGTGCAAATTAAACTACACCGAGAGGCAGGCCTATGGGGTTAGAGGCATGTTAACCAAGGGGATCAAAGACCGCCTGCAGCATGGACCCTTCTGTTGGGGGAATAACAGACCCCCACGTCTACGGCTGTCGAGCTGGCCCCCTTATGACCTTGCGAGTTCGCTCGAACCCGTCATTTTAAATCTGGAGTCAAATTTATTTCTGAACAACCGCAACAACAAAGCCGAGGGTTTATTAACAACTCTGCTGATTTCAGAACAGGTCTAATTTCCCAGGGTGCAAAGGCTCTCGGGTTTGCACCGTAACCTTTCCCCTTTGTAAAGATAGGCAGTCCAACACGAGCCTGTGTGCTCCGTGCCGTGCAAGCTGTTCCACGTCTGCTTCACAGGTCGTTGCCTGAAGTGAGGAGTGTTTTTAATAACTGTTACCTGACAGCAATAAGAGCAACGAGCAAAATCTGTGGCAATACCAGTTGATCCCATTTGGCCTGACAGCTTGTTGTTATTTCCAGGCTCTCGCATTCTTTAAAATTCATAGGGACAGCCTGCAGTTTTAATAGAGGCTACCCAAATCCATCCTAAGATGTAGCAGAAAAAAAGCACACTTCCTGCAGGGGAACAGGAAACAGTCAGCACTTCCAAAGATCACTCCGGGAATTTTTTAGCTCATGCTTTGAAGTAGATGCTACCAAAGAGCAAAAGCTTCCAAAGCTCAGCAATATTTAATGTATTTCTCGCAGCAACAGAAATGGATGACAGCGTTGTTGTTTCAGCCATATTATAACAAAAATATTGTGGTTTTCCTGTATTCTGACCAAAGCAGCTTCAGATTTACATCTCATTCATCTTCTTCAGAAATAGCATTTCATCCCAAGACAAGGAGGAGAGAGATCCTGCTGCGTACAAAGGACAGGATTAACCCTCGCAGGGCATTTAGAGATAAGGCAAAGAAAGTCTAGAAAAATCCCGAGAAAAGCTGATTTTCTCAATAACCAGTTTTGGAGCTGGAAAAAAGATACAGACAAATGCCACCGGTGAAAGAGTGGATCATTCTCAATAACCTTATAAGAGGAATTATTTGGTTTAAAAATATCCCACTGGATAAAATCAAGCTAAGTGTCACCATCAAAAGCATTTCTAAGTCTGCACTGGCCACTTAAAAACAAAGACTTAAACCCTTGCAGCAAGCGGACAGACATTGAAAATAATGGGTCTTTCTACGTCTTTCCCTTTCCATAAGATGAAGCAGCATACCCAACGGCTTTGCCTGCATGAAAACGGGTCATGGCCAACTCTATTCTGCTTTCTTTCATCGCATAAAATTTTCTGCAAGTAAGGTGCAAAACTGGCTCCATTGAAAGGTGGAAAAGTAAAAAGAAAAGTGGAAAAATTAAAAAAAAAAAAATGAAAAGGAGGTGGAAAAATAAAAAGGCAAGGAAGGATCTCTCCCTATTGGTTTCTAGAGGTAGTTGATAATAGATTGGGCTTTGCATTACATGGGATAGGTTTGATAGTTTTTGCTTGTGGTGTGGTGTCTTTGTGGAAGGGGTTTGGCAGCTCTCCGACAACGAAAACACCTCCGTTCATTCCCAGAACCAGCTGAGCTCAGCGACAGGACGCACTTCCCCACCCGTGCATCATGCTGCCCATCCAGCATGGCTCTCCCCACCCTTTCTAGGGTGCAAAAAGCATTGCAAATATGTTCATTAATCCCCCTTCACCTATATGCATTTCACACCAAGGGGAAAACAGCAGAGGCAAAACGACATCCTCTAACCCCACACAAGTCACTGCCTTGGCATTAGGAACCTTCCCCTTCCCAACCCCGTGTTCATCCCTCTCCATCAGCTTCTGCTTTCAACCCCAGATGTGTTGAATTCTTTACCTATTTGGTCACTGACAAAAAAAAAATCAAGTTAATACCAATGATGTTCGTGTGACCTCACCCTGGGCGCATCTACATGTTCATTAATGCGCCGTAGTTATTTCGCATTAAGTTTAGCTATGTTAATACCAATGATGTTCGTGTGACCTCACCCTGGGCGCATCTACATGTTCATTAATGCGCCGTAGTTATTTCGCATTAAGTTTAGATAAGTTAATACCAATGAAGTTCGTGGGACCTCACCCTGGGCGTGTCTACATGTTCATTAATGCGCTGTAGTTATCGCGCACTAAGTGGAGTACTTGGATAACCAAGTATTAAATCGATGCATATTAAATACTGCACAGTAGCACCAGCACACAGCTTTGTAGTGACACTGCACCACAGCCTAACAACACCGTGCAGTAGCGTATTGGCATGGGTTTTGCCCGGCACGCCTCCGCGTGATGTTATTCGGCTACTGTGCAGTAAGCGTCTTGTGTAGACGCACACCCCCCCGAGAAGAGAAAGGATCTCACACAGATTTCAACTCAGACATCGGAGTAATTTCATCTTCTTTAAGGTAAGTACAAAAAACACAGATGACTGGTTAAGTTCAATGGGAGAGAGACACACACAAAACACATGGAAAAGCTAACAAGAACGTTACATTCTTTAGCCAGAAAGATAGTGATCTAGAATAATTTAAAAGCTACCTACCCACCAAATGCACCGAAAAATAGCGACTGCAGATATTGTTTCCCATTTGCATTCACTTACCGAAGGAATACCTGCAAAATGACAAGGAAAAAAAAAGAATTAAAATCCAGCTTGAATAGTCTTATACACCTTTGCTTCGAATTATTATTATTTCAAATTTCACAGGGATTTTGATTTTCAAACTGTTTGACAAGTGGTCATAAACGTTGCCTGTTGTACATAAATATTTAATATATAGAATAACAAATGTCTGAGCGGTGAATTCCTGCTCAAAGTGGCACGGTGCCTCAAAACACAGCAGAAGTGTATAGATATTACATGCGAGCCTAAGGAAGTTCTTATTCATTTTGATTTAAAACAAGAAGCCCAAGTCTCCAGTGCCCTGAAATAATCAATTTTACAACGAACACGATTAAATTAGACATCAGTAGCATTGAATCCGGACCGGACCAGTCAGCCAGGCATTTATCCCCATCTAGGGAGCAGACTTTCGGCCTTCTCCAGATACCCTCCCAAAAGAGATGTCTTTAACAGTATCCAAAAGTCACTTAATTTGGGCTGTTTTGAATGGGGACCGCAAAGCATGGACAGTCTCAAAGCCTTCACAGACAATGTCTCATCAGTATAACTTTTTCTGCAGCAAGGAAAGCATAGTTTTGGGGAGATAAAAAGCAAAAAATCCATTTCTTACAGTTGGATTTGTTCTCCCCCGCCCCCAAACCGACTATCACAGGGCATCCAGTGCAAAGCCTACACTATTAATTGAGCTAGCGTACCAGAATATCGTTAAGCTTCAATGCCCTGCAAGAAGAGAACAGACCATATTATCCTACCACTTTCATCTGAACCTTTTTGCCACTCTCCTCACATTACTATAATCATTTCACCTCTTCTTACAGCCATTTTTCATGCAGGTTTTCTTTTAAACCTGGGAGGAAATTTTAGCCCCAAGGACATGATTTCACCCAAGACCATCAAATCCAATTGGAAAGAAAACCAGAGGCTATTTTTAAACTATTTTGTCAACAGCTGGAATTTGGAAGCCTTCTCCTTTTTTCAAGTTCCCTGGGTCCATCTGTATTCCTGGGGATTTGGATTTCCATTAAAAAAAAAAAAGTCTAGTTTAATACTTTCAAATTAAGGGCAGAATTTCTTGAACACTTTGGTCATCTATATGAACCCCCCTGCAGCATGCTAGGAGGCAATAAAGTTACTCAGGGTAGCAAGTAGCTTTGTGATCCCAGTGCTAAGCATATGGATGTGAATAAATTTAATTAATGAATTAACTAACTCACTTGATTTATATGCTGCCCTTCCCAAAAGGCTAAGGGCAGGTTCCAATAGGAGAACAGAATAAGTTTATAACAGGAAATGCAGTTTTATAACAGGTTTATATACAGGAAAATGCTTATAGAACAAGAGAAAATATACAACAAAACTCCCTAAATAATACCCCAGCCTAGCTTTGCTTGCTAAATGCCTACCCAACCAGGACGGTCTGACATGCACAAACGGGGACTAACAAGATGGATGGACATTAACCACCTCTAAAATCCAGCTTACAATAGTTCAGTCTATTTTTTTTTTGTTCCTCAATGAGACGATCAGTTCAAATTAGAATAGTAACAAAAAATAAATTAAAATAAAAGGAGCTGCTAGACGCTCTACTGCAAAGCAGCGTGCAACGGTGCACCAGTTTACACACACACACACACCCCTATTTTCCACAAATCATTAAAAAAAAAAAAATCAGCCTAAATATTCATTGCCTATTTAACAATAATTCCAAACAGGGCTACCGCTGTCCAGAAAGCCTTTTTTAAAAGGCTTGATACACTTCAACTTTCTTAATAAAAGCGGCTCTTTGTAAAGGTATCTATTATTAATGGCAACCCCACTTCACTATTCTCTACCACAGTTAAATATAAACGTGTATGAATTATTCTTATTTCTTGGCAGAAGGAAAGAACCCCCTGAGGCCCATTAAAAAAAAAACAAAAAAACCCTCACTCTCATACATGCACACAATGAGGAATTAATAAAATACTGTATTTTTCTCAACCACATTAAGTTTTCTGACGTGTGTCTGTTGCTGATTACATCAATCTAGGCTCCATAACTTGTCATGTGATGACAGGCAAAGACTTGTGAATTTATTTCTCCGAAGAAGCTCACGATACAAATGCCAAGGAAACCAAACCAAATGGTTTGCTGGGAGTCTATAAAAGCAGCAGGGTTTCTTGGGAAGATTTTAAAGGTACAAACAGTAGGTAGGTGCCTACAACTCCACTGACTCAGAGTACCAGTTTGGAGCTGAGCTGTCATATACGCGTCACAAAAATCGTCTTCCTTGCCTGCATGCAGCAAACATCAATTTAAATGCTGCGTCTCCCCACAACCTCCCCTCCGTAGCACACAGAAATGCAAACAGAACAGGTAACAGCATGGATTTGACTTGGAGAGTGGGGTTTTGCAAAGGGAATAATTGTTGATCTGCCAAGTGTCAGACCGGGGGACTCTACAATTCTGGGCTACCGTATTTCCCCCCATGCAACACACGGCAGAATATAATATGCACCTTGTTTTTTTGAAAGGCAGAATGAAGGAATAAATAAAAAGGATTTTTTTTACCCCAGAGTTATGTCTACACAGAGCAGGGACAGAGCCCAATCTTCAGATGCTTCACCCTCCCTTTCGTGCTTAATGAAAGCTGAAACCCTAGCTGCTGTGCTAAAGACTCACCTCTATGGGTAGATCTATGATACAGAAAAGTCCTAAAGATTCTCCAAGGCTGTGAAATAAGAAGAGAGAAACCAGAAGCAGCTAGCCTGTCCAAAAAAAGGGTTAACTTGATTGATGGAATTTCAAAATCATTATACAGGAGAGAGCACTGTTAACACCGCTGGAGTGAAGAACAATGAGCTCTTAAGTCACTTGACTCAGCTGCCTGAATAGTAAAGCAACAGCTGCTGCACCGTAGAGCAGGAATCACAGCAGGGTGCTGCTATCCCAATTAGAAAATCAGCCTCCTTGCTTAATAGACTTGTGTGGGGGCTGATTTGGGGGGGGAAAAGATGCATGGAATACACCAGAAAATACCGTAGTTTTGGTTCGTGGCATGTGATTACATAAACCACTAACATCCTTTCTGTTGCCAGACGGGATGAACAATCAGTGAACAGTGATGAACTGTGAGGCTCATTTTTGAACGTGGGCTTGTACATCGTGACCTCTACACCTAAACAGACGGTCGTTATTGTCACGAATCAAATATTCCACAGGAAAATAAAAATATGCATGCCGTAGCAAAGTCCAAGTGTCGAAATATGAATGGCAAGCAAAAGCAAAAGGCAGCAAATGTTTCCAATTAAAATTTGTTTCAAAAGTAAAACACAAATCTCATGAAAATGAATGTGCCATTTCACCCTTCCTCCCCATGAAGCTGTCAGAGGCCAGTGAACTGCAGCGTCCTTTACTTCCAAGACAGGCACCTTGGCCCTGGTGTCATCAGATCTAGGATGTGGTATAAAAATCATATTGACCTTTCAAAGCAATGAATGCTCAGTGAAGGAGCAACCTCTATGGGCAACAAAGACTATTCAGGCTAAAATTTGGAAGTTAAAAGCTTTGCATGGAGACGGCCCATTCTAACTTGTAACAAACCAGTCAAGGGAAGGTTTGACGTGTTGATCTGGTCAACTGAAACCCTTAACTTGACTGGTCAAAACATGAATTAAAAGGCACGTTGCTTTTTCTCCCTATGCTGTGAACTGTTGCTGCTAACAGTGCATCCGTACCGTTCCCGCTGCTGTCAGCTGGCAGATGATCATTTTACGATGCTCTTGACACCCTGGCCCCTGGCTGAAACTTTCCTTCTGCTGTGCGATTAAAAACTAGTTCTTTTGCAACCAGGGCTCATGGTAGAGGCGATCTCTTTTATTAGACCAACAAGATTTTTGCCAAAAAAGAAAGTGTCTTTAATTGCAAAATTTCTTTTGCAACTGTGCATGCGATCACTTCTAACTGGCTGCTGGTGGGAGTTTCGGTGGTTTATTTAATTGTTTCAAATACTACACTCTTAATAGGCATGCATCAGTAATATAAATTAGGCAAAGGGACATATACATGAACACATTCTTCATCACCTGCTGCTTGCCCGTTGTCAAGATAAGATTATCTGGGACGGGAGCATCTCTTCCG